GGACGGATGACAGAATGAATGAGAGGGTCATCGATAAGTAGTGGGATAGTGGAATGAATAAATGAATACTGGATGGATGGAAAAATGAATGAATGGCAGGGAATATGAATGAAAAGATAAATAAACAAATAAATGGATGGATAGATGGATAGACAAACAGATGAATGAGAAAATCCTTACATTGAAATAGTCGTGCTCTAATCCTTTCTCAGCTGTTACTCTTCTTTTTGGATCATATGTCAAAAACCTTTTGAGAAAAATAGATGCATTTAGTGACCTAATTTTATTTGAAATATGAATTATTATTATAATTTTTGGTCATGCAAACAGCTGCCCAAAGAGTACACTTTGCCATCTAAGTCAATCAGCTGGTCAGACAATTGCAAAAGTCATGCGGTTTGGCTGCTCAAAAAAGGATTACAGTAATACATAAGTTTTGAAATTTGTTTGGTGCTTACTTGTTTAAGAGATCAAAACCCTTGTCGGTCAAGTGCGTCCCAAATTTGTTTCTTAACTGATTATATGGATATTCTGTGAAGGTCATCTGGGAATAGAATTATGTTTAAGTTTATAATGACTACTCCAATTTCAAGTTCTGGTTTGCTCTGTGTTAGCCTCAAAACCAAGTACACATGTAACATATTCTTTTGTTTTATTGATAGCCCGAGAAATGGAATTTGTGAAGAAAGACAATAAATTTGATTTGAAATCTTTCACTTTTACGCTCACAAAAGGAATATTTTGTGCACAAATGAGGCTAACACCAAGCATTGGAGAATTCGAAACTGGAGCATTCAAAAATAGTTACTAAAGATTTACTAGATTAGTACACTTAGTGTGCCATCAATATAACATATGCATGTACAAGTACGGTAGTACCTTTTTAACATGTGGTAGTTCTGAGTAAGCTGGTGGGCCAGGCCATATCTTATCGCTGGGGGTGCCTAGATCCTGATATTGCAATATAACTCATGAGTTAAAATAAATGCACGAAGATCTTTTTAGGTACCAAATTTTAATACTTGCTCCATTAAATAATACACCAAATAGTATAATATGTCATTACAAACCTTAAATATTCTATTAATTTGATCAATTTCTGATTTTCCAGGAAACAGTGGTTTCATGGTCAAAAGTTCAGCAAATATGCAACCAACAGACCACAAGTCAATGGGGCAGGCATATTCCTAGAAAGAGAAAACCCAAGTATTTTATCATTCAAAAACATGGGCACCCCAGGTAGTTATAGAGGAGCAACCCTTCCCCTCTTGTTTTCTCCTTGCTAATATTAGACCTTGTTTATTTGAGTTACATGTAATTTAAAGAATGCTATTATTTGTTTACCTTGGCTCCTAGCAACAGCTCTGGAGCTCTGTACCACAGGGTGACCACGATAGGGGTGTAGTGCTTCAATGGCGACCCATACTCCCTTGCWAGCCCAAAGTCTGCAACCTGCAAAGGAATGCAAAATATTATCAATATATATGTATACTCTAAAAAATAAACCATCAGTATTACCTCTGCTAACGATTAGGAATGAGGAAATTCTATTAATATATTTTATAACATTTTTTTAACGTACCTTTAAAATACCCTTGTTGCTTAGTAGAAGATTAGAAGTCTTCAGGTCACGATGCAGTATCCAGTTGTCATGGAGATGAGCAACGGCACGAAGGAGTTGAACAAGAAGTGTCTTTACTTCTCCTATAMATTCAATATTAATGAATGTCCAGATTGTCAGTAAGTTTTCTCAATATATGTCAKATAAATAATTTTATTAAGAACTCAATAAGTCTTACCTATGGAAAATTTACTGTTCATGTGTTCCATAAGTGTTTTCAAGTCGTGTTCAACGTAGTCCATTACAATGAAGATCTTGTCCATATTTCCACCTACAACAACTTCCTAACAAAATGATTAAAATCTAAATTATACCTCATCAACTTTCAATAGACATTGCTAGAGATAGCTGAAATGTTTTGGACTGCTTTTGCATTAAATCTTAATAGAAGATTTGAGGTGTGTGTGAGTTCGAAATATCCTCATTAATTGATTGTATGTAAGGTGTAAGGTGTGTGTGTGAGTTCGAAATATCCTCATTAATTGATTGTATGTAAGGTGTATGGTGTGTGTGTGTGGGTTAGAGATATTTACCATTAAATGATTGTATGTAAAKTGTAAGGTGTGAGCTGTGTGTGGGTTAGAGATATTACAGTGYATTAATGATTGATGCAAGCTTACCCTAACAGTAACAATATTTGGGTGTTGTCCTTTCAACAACGTGTTAATCTCACGCAGCGAAGTAATGGGAAATCCCTCCTTTTCCTTTTCCATTTTCAATCTCTTTAGTGCAACAATTTCATCTGGAGTAAWATGAAAATAAAACAGCAGTTTTTCATACAGTGAAATAATAATTTTTTCTAAATTTACGAATTAACCTTTTAACACAAATGCTAGAAACATCAACTTAGCTCTAGCCTGCTAGCCAGGTGTTCCTAGCGGCTGTCTACATAGGCTAACTTAGCTCACATTACTGTTTAAAAGACATTCAATGTGGTAGTGTTTTAGATTTTTCTTATAAAACTCATTAATATTCTTAAGGCAAAACACAATAGAAATCATAGCCCATGAAGAGAGTTGTATATTACATACAGATTTCTTGTTCATTTGCATAAACTTTAACTCTGATTTTCTCGGTCAGATTGATTTTTTTTTCAAAAGTTTCTTTAAAACCTGAGCTAGTTTACCTCAACGTTTCATAAGTAATATACAATATTCGCGGGCGATCTGTATGAGGTTTAAAACAGCTCGCTTTCAGCTCGCTGTTTTAAATCCTCATACAGATCGCCCGCTCATATTGTATATATTAC